TAAGGAAACTCCGATTCAATCCGCCCCCCGGACGGGAGGCATCTATCTCATTCCGATCACAGTTGAGTGCCACAATCCCATTCATTATTTTTTATCTACATAAGCCCAAACTAGTAGTACCGATGACTGTTTGTTCAATAAATTATAAAAATATTGAAGAACCGATAAGTATGGGGAATTGTTGATGTCCATGTAAATTATTGTTTGAATATCTTGGAACTTTGATGATGAATTTATAACTACACAATATTTTAAAAGCAAAATATAATAATTAAATATGAAATGTAGTTTAATTGCGTCAGCATAATGAAATGCGAAATATAACAGCTAAATAATTAGACTCTAGAATGACTTCCATGTTTGGTACTTGTAATTTACACATTTTAATATTGTACATCTTTAAAGTGAAATAATTATATATATATATATATATATAATTATATATATAATTATATATATGACCATGTGGTTTGTATTATTTACATTTTAGGTTTTCATTCAATCAATCATAATTTTTTATTTTTTATTATGAGAGGTTGGTTAATTATTTTTATTGTGGAAGGTATTAATCATAGATATTATCATCTTTGTTATATTAATTTTAAAAAAATACATGAAACAATTTCATTAAAATTTCATAATTATTATATGAAACAATCTCATAGCCGCATATGAAACAACTTCATCTAAAAAAGTATTATATAAAACAATTTCATAATATTAACAATTTTAATGAAACAAAATCATTAAGTTAAACAATAAAATCGACGGAAAATGGTGGTTTGTAAGGTTTATACAAAATATGGGTGATTTGCATTTGATCGCTTTTATCAATGGATAAATTAGAAAACTAATATTTTTGGTAATCTGACTTACAATTTTAATTAAAGGGCATTTTTAGGTATTTTAATTTGTTTATCTCTCCTTTGTCTCTCTTCTACCTTCAGCCTCTGGTAAACCTTATTCCGACGAACACCGTGTAATACTTAAAATAGATCAAGATACACAATGTGATACCCTTAATATATCAAGTAACTTCGAGACTACTATGATGCAAATTGTGGTACCAATATGAGGCCAACGATATCTTGGCTGGACAAGATGACCGGAGGAGGTCACAGGAGTGGTGGATGCCGGAGAAGGCCACCAGATTTTGGTTCGTGTGTGTGTGTGTGTATATATATATATATATACTAGTTGTGTACCCACGCAATGCGGGGGGAGCCATGAATTTTAACGATTTTGAAGTTCCACTGGTTTTATAAGATAAGATTTAACGATGATATATGTTACACTTGGTCTTTACATATTAATACAATTTGAATAAATAAGAGTTATGGTTCCAATTACAGACTATCGATGAAAAAAATTGTATGACAGTTTAAAATTCATTATATTTAAAATCCAACATATTTAAACTACTCCACAAATGTATTCGATTTACACCAAGAGCAAAGAACTAAGAAACTTGAGTTTTAAAATAAACACTCAAAACCAATAAAAAAAACTACAAATTTGACAGATCATGAGCCATGAAAAGACAAAAAAAGATGGGTTTTAGAATGAAATTTCAACTGCTTACCCTTTTTTCTTGTCCAAAAACTCAGATTAAGGTTGAATTAATACATGTATATATATATTTAAAAAAAAAACCCAAGAACATATTAATTCAAAACATATCATACAGTGCAATTTGGACAGCCTAACCCCAAAATATATAGTATATATATATAAATAAATAATTATAAGAGTATAAATCGTAAGTATTAAAAATATTTTTTCACTGGTATATATAATTAAGTCAAAAACTATTCAATATTGAACTCATTTCGAAGGTATTAACAAGACGATTATAATGGTGTAACTCATTAAAATAAAAATGTATTTTTAAACATGTTTTAATTGATATACGATTATGTATGCTAATTTGATAAATGTTTAAAATGAAACATTTAAAAGTAAAAGACGTAAATAAATAAATTAATTAATTATAGGAATATAAAATGTAAATTTAAAATTATAATTTTAAAAAAAATCGGTTTGTGAGAAGGTGAGTGTTTGTGAGGAGATGAAAGAGTGAAAAAGTAAAAGGGGATTGATATCCCCACCCCCTGACGTCACTTCCCACCCCCTCCTCCTCACATCTTTCCCTCACTCACACCCTCACATTCACCGAATTTTTTAAAAATTTAATTTTAAATTTTCATTTCATACCCCTTAATTAGATAACTAATTTACTTTATATCCTTTCCTTTTAAAATTTTCATTTTACACCCTTATCAAATTAACACACATAATTATATATCAACTATAACATGTTTAAAAAATATATTTTTATTTTAACAAATTACATCATTATAATCGTCTCGTTAATACCTTCGAAATGAGTCCAATATTGAATAGTTTTTGAATTAATTATATT